AATTAGGTTTCATTTGCACAAAGAGTATTAAAGTTTAACCACTTGTTAACTTAATAGTTTATCATAAGGGAAAAAAAAGAACTTTGGACACTGGTCAATGTCATAGAACAAAATCATAAGCATTTGTTCAAGTAAATCTACTAAATCTCAGTAAAATGTTCTTTGCCTTTCTATGATACCCTTGTTCCTTGACACAGTTGTTACAATAGGTAGATAAAGGCTGGGGAAATGACTCTGTACTGATGTGGGGGGAGGGGACTAGCAAACAACCAGGGAGGATTGCTGCAGTCATTCTATGGCTGCAGTATTAACTAGAACAGTGATCAGATTGAAGACATTTCTCCTATATCCCTAGTGGCTGGAGGCAATACAGCTGCTTTTTGTTCCAGAAGATGGTTGCATGCTAGTTCCATCCCTTGCTACATGAATGGCCTCACATACACAGATAGTAAAACAGCCAGGGGAAATGTAAAGCCATGAATTTAACCCATGTAAAACCGTAAAACAGCATTGTTAGGTCCATGCCTAAAACTAAGCTATATAAGATGACAATATCATAAAGGAGGGAAGAGGGAACATCTGCAAAGATGCAACATTTGTGCATTTCACTATAATTGAGTAATCATTAATTTTAAACAGATAATAAGACATCTATTATAATCAGTAAACTAATAATTAATAATTGAAAGAAATAGCAAAACACCTAGGAAAGGAGCTAAAGTGTTAAAAGAGGCTCAAGTACACAAAAAGGACATTTGTTCAACCATGTTTGTAGCAGCTTTATTTGTAATAGCCAGAAGCTGGAAACAGCCCAGATGCCCCTCAACTGAAGAATGGATGCAGAAATTGTGGTACATCTACACAATGGAATATTACTCAGCAATGAAAAATAAGGAAATCATGAAATTTGCAGGTAAATGGTGGAACCTGGAAAGGATCATCTTGAGTGAGTTGTCCCAGAAGCAAAAAGACACACACGGTATATACTCACTCATATAGACATTCAACATAGGACAAACCCACTAAAATCTGTGCATCTAAAGAAACTAAGCAAGAGAGAGGACCCTAACTAAAAACGCTCAATCCCCATCCTGAAAGGCAAAGAGGATGGACATCAGAAGAAGAAAACAGGAAACAACCTCGGAACCTGCTACAGAGGGCTTCTGAAAGCCAGAAGAAGAAAACAGGAAACAAACAAGGAACCTACCACAGAGGGCCTCTGAAAGCCTCTGCAGTATAGACTGTCAAAGCAGATGCTGAGCCTGATGGCCAACTGATGGTCAGAGTGAATGGAATTTTATGTAAGAAGTGGGAAATAGTAAGAGCTGGAGGGGACGGGAACTCCACAAGGAGAGCAACAGAACAAGAAAAGTTGAACACAGGGAACTGCCCAGAGACTCATACTCCAACCAAGGACTATTCGTGGAGATAACCTAGAACCCCTGCACAGATGTAGCCCATGGCAGTTCAGTGTCCAAGTGGGTTACCTAGTAATGGGAAGAGGGACTGCCTCTGACATAATCTGATTGGCCTGCTCATTAATCACCTCCCCCTGAGGGGGGAGCAGCCTTACCAGGCCACGGTAGAGGACAATGCAGCCACTTTTGATGAGAAGTGATAGACTAAGATCAGAAAGAGGAGGAGAACCTCCCCTATCAGTGGACTTGGGGAGTGGCATGCATGCAGAAAGGGGAGGCAGGGTGGGATCGGGAGGGGAGGAGGGAGGGGCTAATGGGGGATACAAAGTGAATAAAGTGTAACTAATAAAAGTTAAAAAAAAACTTCACAGTGTAAATGTACAACAACAACAACAACAAATATGTATGCAGCATAAAAAGGCAGGTAAAGAGAAACAAATAACACAAAGAAAAACACCAAACATACAAATTACAAAAGAATGTTAGGAGTTGGCATCAAGATGGTTGGGTTGAAAAAGTGTGTCCAAGAAATGAAAGTTATTCCCTTGGCAACTTAGGGTAGAAAGGTAGAAAGGACTTCAGTGTGTCTTCAGGCAAACCAGAGTCCTCTTTCTTAAGATAGGTATAAGGTAAGACTGTGCAAAATGAGATTACTTCATAGAACGGTGAGTTAGTATTGACTGATCAAGCCATGGAAAGGGGAAGTGGCCTTTTTACATTCATGTACTCATTATACACATTCCATAAACACTTCACCGTGTTTGTCTCAGAACACCTGCATTAAACAGTAGACATAACAAAAGCGACACCAGTCAAAACATTTCTCGCAGTATTCTCCTCTGGCTCAGGACAAAACAACAACGGTGGTAGGCTCTGTTGTGGGTCACAGCATGCAGAGACCTGCAATTATGGCCTTCAGAAGGGCAGATGATGTTACTGCTTGCAAACAACTGACAGTGACAAATAGACATGGCACATTCTTCCTTGTGCTTGTCAAAATGATATAAAATGTGTGTTGGCTTCTTGTATTAAACATCTACTGGCTTGCTCCCATTGATATCAATATACACCGTTGTTTTAAAGTACGGACGATTTACTGACAGTGATACTTAACATCAGCACTGAGTGCTGACTCAGAAGCTGAAGCTTTACAGCATCACTGAAACCCAAACAGGAAGATGGTTGGCAAGGATGATTTGAACCTCTGATACTCCTGCTTCAACCCCAGTGCCTAGATTACAGGAATGAACCACTGTCTTCTGATTTATGTGATGCTGAGAATCAAAGCCAACACTTCATGCATACCATGGCAACCACCCTAACTAAGATCTGTAGTGCTCTGGGAGCTTGATATCCAAATGTTAATTCACCCTTTAAAATCTCTAATTTATGAGACTGACGCGTTGCCTACTGCGCTAAGGAGGCAAGTTAAAATCTCTAATTTAAACACTCTAACAGTCATCCAAGCCCAAACGAAGACACACCCTTAATCTCGACATTTACTCAGTAACAAGGACCTCCCAGCATCTCTTATATGCACATCTTTCCCATCCTCCTACTTTCCGTTGCTTTGGTCAGTTCTGCCTACCTCCTGGAAGGGTAGCTGGCCTTCAGTTACTTCACCTTGCCTCAGTGTTAATCCAGTCTTTGTGCTGCTGTCAAGGTGAACTTGTTGATGGTGCAAACTCCTTTATTTGAAATGGGAATGGTTTTCTAAGATTCAAATACTAAAATTTGAAACCCTTAATACAGTATAAAAGCCCCTGACTCTCCCGCACACCTCCCCTCTACTGAATGTATTGGCTTATGTCTCCAGTTCTCAGTTACACTTTCATGCCTGTAAAAGTATCCTTTTAATCTCCCTGTCCTCTGTCATGCTCTCTCTGTGCAACCTGGTAGAAGTGCAAGTAGGAAAGAAAAACACCTGTTGGTTTTTCAAGCCATGCTCAGACATCACCCCTTCGCTTTCCTTCCTCCAAGCTCAAGGCTGTGTCACACCTTGTATTTGTATCTGATTTCCTAAAGATATCAGCAATTTAATTGTTTCCATTTAAGTCAGGAATCATGTCTGATTCACATCTCAAAATCATAGATATGTCATTGCACAAAAGAAAAATACAGTCAATATTTGCTGCAGGAGTAATACACTTCTCTGTAGTTTTGTAATTTACACTAAGTTCCTCTTTCCAATCAATAATGAAAGACTCCAGGATCTTTTATGGTATATGGGCGGTATAGTCAGAGTTTCTACAGCAGAGGCATCTTACTTTCCCAAGAAGTCACTGGAAGGATTTTCTATTACAGCATATAAAAAGCAGATATATATTTAACATGAATTCATTATTATTTAAATTATGATTTGCTAGTGTATAGTATGTACAAATGAGAAGGAATTTATATACTTTTACCCGTTTACTCCTTCTTGAATTTTCTTACCAACATTTTGTCACAGAAAAGGTGCTGTTCATTTTCCAATGACACTCAGTGTTCAATTAGTTAACCTGTTCTAGTCTGTCAACCCAATGAGACATCTATGTGCTTCTGCATGCTATCACTGTACATGAGTGTTTACATGGACGTGTATGGATACATACACACACACTCAATTTATATCACACCATATCTTCCTAACACAACAGATGTAGAAGCTAAAGTTTTCAGACTTACTTAAAAACATAGAGCTTAAACACTGAACAGATCAAATATTCTTCTTCATTCCACTAAATTAAAATAATTCAGTCTTAACGCTTTGATTTATTCAATTGCCTTTCTACACTTATTCCTTGAAGCATTAATTAAATGCATTCTTTCCGTGATGTAGTGTACTGGTGTCATCTCTCTGAAAGAAGAGCACAAACCCACATCCCCTGACTTTGTGTACTCTGTCTGGTCAGCGCAGTCCAGCATTCCCTCCTCTAGATGACTGATACTGTTCATGTGGATGCTCTTACGCACTGTTTTTTCAGTGTTTGTAGTTTATTAATTATATCCCCTACAATAAAGCCGCACCAGTCTTCACGCATGTCTCTGGGTTATGATCAGTCAGGAAGCCACACTGAGTTTGCAACTTGTAACATGCAGCTTCCTAGTCCAAGTTCCAGCTTGGCTTCATTGACATTTTTCCTAAAAGCCTCCTTTGCAACTAAGTTAGGTAGCATGAAAGGTAGAAATAGAGATATAAATTATATAAAAGATATAAACGCAGGATATGCAGGCTGGAGAGATGGTGCTGCAGTTGAGAGCACGGGACGTTCAACCCAGCACGCACACAGTGGCACACAGCCACCTGTGACTCCTTTCCACAGGATCTGATACCCTCTTCCAACATACCCCACAGGGACCAGGCACACACATCACAAACAGAAAAACACGCAAGGCAAAACATTCATGCAATAAAAGTGAATAAAGATACAAAATTAGAAACATGTTTCATGACACTTTGTTGTGCACAGCCTAAACGCAAGCCATGGCACATTTTTCATGCTCTTTGAGAAAAACACCTCTTGACTTCACTGTCCTAAAAAGAAGGCCACAAACTATAAGTAAAAATAATTTGATTAGGCTGACACCGATGTTGAGAAGAATATTTATTTCTTATTATTGAAAAATACATAAAAGGTCAACATTTGCTGAGGTGCTGGTTTTCCTTAATACAGCTGGTATTGTAAGAAATGAAGAAATGCATCTCGCATGTTTAGCAGTTTACATTCTAAGGCATTTAGGCTTAGAGCAGCAGCTCCACGTATTGAGGTGCACTTGATACAGTTTAAATACACTGAGGCACACCAGAGCAGCAGCAGATTTGGAACCACACAGGAAACTGTTCGCATGCAACTCAATCTCAGGACTTCATATTCCCTTTTCCCACCCCCGAAACCTGTGCATTTTTAGTTGTTCACAGAACACCAGCAAATTATCTACTCCTCAAGAGTTTGCGTACAACACCACCATCAACGGGCACATCATATATAATGATGTCATGGATAGGTGCTGGCTCTTACCAATATGAGGCTCTGGTAGGAAAAACACTAATTTCCGAAGGCACAGTGGAGACAGGTTTAATGTATTAAATATAACATAAATCATTCACAATAACAAGTTTAGTGTTTCCGGGAACTTTTGTTAATACAACACAGTTGGTCACACAAAATACAAATGCTTCTGTTGATTTGTCTTGGCAACTCAGATACATCAACAGTGCTAACAGTTTAACAGCTTTGTTCTCATCTGACAGAAAATAATGGCAGTTCTGCAAGGCAAATGTTAAACCTGACCGTATGTATTTATTAATTCCACAGTGTTTTGACAGATCAGAAAGGATGGAATCAGAGGATGCTGACACGCTCACTGAGGGCTTTCATTTCTCTCTCTTCAGCCTCAGGACTGTTGCTGTGGCTAGTGTTCAGACTGACCAGGTGTGCAGGGTACTGCAGGCCCTGCTCGCCCGCGAACTGCTCCCACCTCGAGTCATCGCTCTCGTGGGTAATATAGCGTTCTCCAATTCTGCATTCCAGCTCTCGTAAATCTAACCAGGTCTGATAGTCCTGAAGAAGAAATTAAAATTTTCACCACAGAGATCACTGCAACTCGACATGCTTCTCCTATGTTGGCAGTTCTTACAGTCCGTGAGGTGACCTTTCCTGTCTGTTCTCTCAGTGCTGCCTCCACTCCCCAGGCAGCACCAAGGCATCCCATTTGCTCAACCTTAGACCGTACATGCTGCTTGTAAGATGCCATGGCTCCAAGCATGGATAATTAATGCTTGTAGTCAAGTAATTAGGAAAGTTAACACTGCTTTGCAGTGTAATGGCAATAAGTAATCCTTCATTAGTTCAAAATACCATTTTCTAAACTTCAACATTCAATGCGGAAATAGCAAATATTTTAGAGAGTGCACACCCATAGACATTTGCATTGGCATGTATTTATATTCACGCATCGTATTCTGAGGCTTGAAATACAGCTCCCAAATGAGACTAGTGCATGGGCAGATGGGCATCTACTATGTCATGGATCAGGATTGAGTATACAGATGCTTTCTAAATCTGGTCTTCTGAGTTCTCATATGACCCTTTACATACATACATACATACATACATACATACATACATACATACATACATACATACATATAGTGTGTGTGTGAGGTGGACTATGGGCATGTGTTGTGTGCATGTGTATGCCTTTATCAAGTCTTCCTGGTAGAAAGAGGGATATTTAAAAACACTGAGCTGTTATTAAATCCCAAGAAGTCACTTACATTTTGGAAAAATAATGTTAGGGTAACTACACCTGTATAAACATGACAAAAGATTTCTACAGATAATATCAAAATCTTACGTGAATAATTGGAAGCATACCCAAGTAAGAAAATCCAGGGATGACTTTACCTGCAGCCAAGGGTGACTCAAGGTCTTATCCACACTGTAACGCTTTCTCATTTTCACTTGTAGCAAGTTATTGATAAGATCAATGGCTGAAAATTAATTGTTAAAATTATTGTTACAATAGTTACAAACATGTAGTGAATATGTAATTCATTTAGAGTCTCGGTCACATCTGCTGTTCTAGAGATGTAAACAGCAGCATATTGGTAATAGTAAAACATGAAACTAATAACCTGAGTATTCTAAAGCCTCAGTCTTCACTTTGTTTTGGATAAAAAGTAAATCAAGTTGGAAATAATGGGGTGAGTATTTTAATTTATTGCTCAATGTGAATTTAAGTTTGGGTAGTTTATAATATGTTTTTTAATTAATTTATTTTTTATTAATTACAATTTATTCATTTATCTCAGCTGTAGCTCCTGCCCTAGTCCCCTACCAATCCAACCTTTCCTCTCTCTTCTCCTCCCATACCCCTCCCCAAGCCCACTGATAGGGGAGGTCCTCCTTCCCTTCCATCTGACCTAGCCTATCAGGTCTCATCAGAACTGACTGCATTGTCTTCCTCTGTGGCCTGGTAAGGCTGCTCCCTGCTCAGGAGAGGTGATCAAAGAGCCAGCCATTCAGTGTGTCAGAGACAGCCCCTGTTCCCCTTACTAGAGAACCCACTTGGACACTGAGCTGCCATGGGCTGTTCTTTTATGTATGAATTTTAATATATGTAATTTTAAATGTCTTTAACAAATATGATACGACTACTATTCAGGAGATGAAATTGCTTATTTTCTCATAAAATGAATCCAATATTTGAATAGATATAAAGGGAATTGCAGGTTTCACTTAGCTAGATTTGGTAAGTCAAGAGGCTGAGGCAGCAAGGTACACATTCAAGGCTTGCCTGAGCTACAGTATGAGATACAGTTTTAAAACAAATACAAAATAAAATAAGGGAAACAGTTGATTAAAGTATATATATATATATATATATATATATATATATATATATATTTACTTTATATATACATATACATATATATATATGTCTACATATATGTATATGTGGACATCATATATTCCAGGAAAAACAGCACAACATGAATCATGTCTCAGCATATATGTAACCTAAAAACATACAGTTCTTTAGGAAATGACTTTATCTTTGAAAATTTTCTCTTGCTTTTTCAAATGACAATAAATTAAGATTTATATTGACCACCATTGCATTCCTAGTACAAGACAAGTATTGGGCTCTGAAGAGTTAGAATCCCTGTTCAGTCTCATCCCCTGCCTATGTGGGGCTCCTGTGCCCAGAATTTTGAAGAAAGGGTGATTTCTCTATGTCAGTGCTGTATAAAGCATCTAACTGACACATGTGCTAGCAGTATCTGCACTTAACTTCTGGGGACTGTATTTTCTACCCCCACCACATTTCACTGTTAATTTAAATCTTCCTTTTGGGACTCATTTTCATGACTTCTGTATTTCACTTTATTGGCCCCCCTCAAAAGAAAGCATTCAAACAATACCCACATTTGTCCTGGGGCTTCTCTGACCTCTAGCCTGCCCCAGGCCTGAAATCTGACATGTGGATTTTTCTGCTAAAAGCCTTAATATTTGAAAAACTTATAATTAACTCCCCAAAGTTCCCCCGACTGCCAACTTTTAATACAGACGTTCTGGAGATCTCCAGTGTCTGATTCCTACCAACTTGTATGGCCTTAAAAATCCAGACTGACAAAAGGGCCAAAGTAACAAACTGCAACATTCAGTCTAAATAGATTCAAAATCTTCTGTTATTAATCAAAGGAAATTAGGTCTTAGGATCTTTTGGCATCTAGGAGTTTCCCTATGATTCCAATACTTATAATGTTTTCCTACACTGAAGAGCTACACAATTGGCACCAACTTTTTGATTAGGGAAATTAAATGCAACACCACATATTTAAAGGCCACCTCTGCCTGTCAACCCTGCTGTGGAGAGGGTACCTGAGGAAGCACGGTACTTAGTACAGTTTCAGAGCCCAAGCGTGTGTTTTGTGTGAGCTTTTGCAAGTATAGTTCTCCAGTGTACAGTGCGTTGGGCACAGAATTTCAAATATCCATTCATATGATTTACTTGCTGGTGAGAAAAATGCACCTTCCATTCCGGCTGCTGTGAAGTCAGGGAGCAAAAATGGAGGACAAGGGGTGACGGGAGCGCTCGTGTGCTACGGCAGGCACTCAGCAGCATTACACTTCCTCAAGCACCACAGGACATAAGTACACATTATTAATTCACTCATTCTGCCCTGAATTCTATAATTAGGAAGGTGGGGGTACAGTAACTCAACAAAAGGTCTGGTTTGTGTCCAAATGGGCCCCAGCGGTGAACCACACTGCCTAATGGCTAGGGAAGTCCTGGCAGAGGAGAAACTAGAAGTGTCTACAGGGAAATGGAAAATGTGAAGATGGAAAATTGTTCTGAATGGAGCATATGATCCCGGGCTTGCCTGTCACAGTCCCCTTGTGACCTGAATAAGCACAGCAAAGCAGCAAGGTACTTCTGAGAGAAAGCACTTTAGGCTGCAAGGGGAGAGGTAGTCGGGTAGAGTGCGGATAAATGTGTTTCTGGCTCCTAAGAAACAGAGTGCAAACCAAAACCCCACAAATGTACGAATTCCCAGTTAACATTACTGCTTTTTGTTACTCAGTAAAATAAGTTCATTTCTGGTTTTGAGACCACTGCTTCCTTATCAAGACACCTTGGGAACGCTCAAAACAATTCCATTAATCAAGTTCCATAAAAGGTAGCCTTAACTGCATGACCCAACATATCTTCCCATAAATCAATTGTGCACGCGTGTGCTTGTGTATGTGTGCCTGTGTGCAATGCCACACCTACCTTTTTACACAGTTTCTGAATCTTGACCTCAGGTCCTATGCTTGAGAAGCAAGTCTGTATTTCAAAGGAGATTCTAAAATTCCCTTTCCCTCCCTTCACTGCCCCCTCTTTTCTATTTACAAGCCATATCTAAGCTGATAAAATAACTGGGAATAAGAGTTTATCACATCTGGGCACGGTAGTTCACGCCTGTAATCCCAGCACTTGCAGAGGCAGAGGCAGAGGCAGTAGGATCTCTGTGAGTTTGAGGCCAGCTTGGTCCATAAAGCAAGTCCAGGACAACAAGGGTACACAGAGAAACTGTATCTTGAAAAGCAAAAAACCAAACCAAACCAAACCAAAACAGTTTATCACTTGGGGATGGAGAAGTGGCTCAGTTAAGAACACATCTGTTCTTCCAGAGGACTCGAGTTTGCTCCGAGCAGCCATGCTCAGTGGCTGATAATTGCTTGTACCTCCAGTTCCAGGAGATCCACTCCCTCTCCTGGTCTCTAAAAGCACCTGTGCACAGTGGCATATACAGGCACACACAAATGAATTTAAAAAACGAAGGCATTTATCATATGTATGTATCAATTACTCATTTATTAGTCTTGTCACTGAATATTTTCTAAGTAACACCTGTTGGGATCTAGTTTGCAATGTCAAAGTCACTGGCTCATGTCACTCCCGTCTTGCACAGATTACAAACTGACAACTCAACTCTTAACTTTCTGCTCAATGAAAAGGGTTTTTCTTTCCTACGTTACCTAGACTTTCCTATTTGTATCTTAGACGTTTTAAATGGAGAAGCTGTTGGACACAGCAGCTTTTCAGTCTCTCTCAGCCTCCTATGTAACAATGGCTCTAGTAGTCTATTAGATCGCAGTCATTTTACAAAGACTTCTAGTAATGTTAACATCCTTGTTAACATTTTGAGCAAAATTTTGCTCAGTATTGGTGGCCAGTTTGATTTACATGCAGGCACACAGGCATTCTTCATATGACCTCGGAGTAAAAGATTTTATTATTGAAAAGGTTACATTCATGTCTGATTTAGTATAGTAATAGTCCTATGAGATGTGGCTTCGATCTCCATTTCTAATGGAAAAAGGCAAGCCGCAGTTCCGGAAGAGGGCGGCTTGGTCAGAGTCAGGTGGCTGTGAAGCAATGTGCTGAGGCTGCAGCCCCGCGAGTCCAGTCACAGGCTGTGTGTTACAAGACACAGCACACAGGAGCCATATTGTTCTGTATGTGTGCTGTTAGTAACCAATGACGTCTTCATTTCACAATTTTATAATTGTTTTCTACTCCTGAACATTAAATTCTTCATTCTGTTTCTAGAACACTTTTGAATATTGAATTCAAGGCTTCTTATGTTTCACTGTAACTGAAGCCCACAGCTCAGCCATCAGAGAATATTCTGAATATGATAGAATTTCATTTTGTCAGGTTTTGTTTTTGTTTGTTTGTTTGTTTACCCTTCCACATGAAAAAGCCCATTTGCTATATGTAATCTCATTATTAGAACTTTTTTTTTTTTTTTGACAAAGCACAGCACTTTAAACATAGAACTTTCTGGCTATATCTTAAATCATGCTTCTAACTACCAGGAGTATTCATTATTTCTTGAGCACATTTTTCCTACTGCAATGTTCCCATCTAGTTTGTACTTGATTATCCACAACAGACTATCATAGGAGGTTTCCCAACTCACAAAATACATCATTGTGATCAAGACATATCCGTCCTTGATGCTACTTTCTCTCCCAATCTGGATGTCCTACTTGAAAAGAAGGTAGCTATTATGACATGAGATCCCTGGTAAAACAATTCTGATAAATACTGACTTTAGTCATTTCCTCTAAAGACCAAGATTTGTTTTCTAAATGTTTAAAACCAGTTAGTTATTTACTATAGGAATCTGTCAGAAATAGTCTGAGATTCTTGGTGAATGAATTCTGTATCAACACTCCTTTTATGAAATTTAGGCAACTGTGGCCTGTTTTACACACCTTAGTATCTCTCTCACTTCAGTCATGGATCACTCAAAAGTACACTAGCCATAAGCCCACACTGGTTAGCTTCTTAAGAGATTCAAGATGTATCTGTCTCTCATCTGCTACTGAGAGTTCATAAGGGCACCCTCCATGTCCTCCCTGGTTCTAGTTCCCAGCAGACACTGCTGTGAATATTTCACTACCCACCAACACACACACACACACACACACA